GGATTATAAAAACAAAACCCAACTATATGCTGCCTACAAGAGACTCACTTCAAACCCAAAGACATACACAGACTAAGAGTGAAAGGATGAAAAAAAATTTTCATGCAAATAATAGGGAGAAAAAAGCATGTATTGCAGTACTGGCATCAGACAAAATAGACTTCAAAACAAAGGAAGTAACAAGAGAAAAAGGACATTACATAACAATAAAAGGGCCAGTCCACCAAGAGGATATAACCATTATAAACATCCCAACACAGGAGCACCTACATATGTGAAACAAATACTAAAAGAATTAAAGGGGTAATAAATGCAATGCATTTATTTTAGGAGACTCAAACATATCACTCACTCCAAAGGATGGATCAACCAGACAGAAAATAAGTAGTGAGACAGAGGCACTGAACAACACACTAGAAAAGATAGACCTAACAGACATCTACAGAACTCTACACCCAAAAGCAACAGAATACACATTCTTCTCAAGTGCACGTGGAAAATTTCCAGAATAGATCACATACTAGGTCACAAAAAGAGCCTCAGTAAATTCAAAAGGATTGAAATTGTACAAACCAGCTTATCAGTCCATAAAGGTATGAAACTAGAAATAAACTATACAAAGAAAACAAAAAAGCCCACAAATACATGGAGGCTTAACAACATGCTCATAAATAATCAGTGGATCAATGACCAAATAAAAACAGAGATCAAGCAATACATGGAGACACATGACAACAATAACTCAACACTGCAAAATCTGTGGAACGCAAAGAAGGCTGCACTATTAGGGAAGTATATTGCAGTAAAGGCCTACCTCAGGAAAGAAGAACAATCCCATATGAACAGTCTGAACTCACAATTAATGAAATTAGAAAAAGAATAACAAATGAGGCCCAAAGTCAGTAGAAGGAGGGAGATAATAAAGATTAGAGCAGAAATAAATAAAATCAAGAAGAATAAAACAATAGAAAGAATCAATGAAACCAAGAGCTCATTCTTTGAGAAAATAAACAAAATGGATACCCCCTAGCCAGGCACATCAAGAAAAAAAAAGTTTACTCACATAAACAGAATCAGAAATGAGAAAGGAAAAATCGTTACAGACACCACAGAAATACAAAGAATTATTAGAGAATACTATGAAAAATTATATGCCAACAAACTGGATAACTTAGAAGAAATGGACAACTTTCTAGAAAAATACAACCTTCCAAGGCTGACCTGGGAAGAAACAGAAAATCTGAAGAGACTAATTCCAGCAATGATATTGAATCGGTAATCAAAAAATTACCTAAGAACAAAACTCCTGGACCACATGGTTTCACTGTTCAATTTTATCAAACATGTAGTGAAGACCTAATACTGACCCTCCTTAAAGTGTTCCAGAAAGTAGAAGGAATACTTCCAAACTCATTCTATGAGGCCAGCATCACTCTAATACCAAAACCAGACAGAGACACTACAAAAAAAGAAAATTACAGACCAATATCCCTGATGAACATAGATGCAAAAATACTCAACAAACTATTAGCAAACCAAATTCAAAAATACATCAAAAAAATAATCTATTATGGTCAAGTATGATGTATTCCAGGGATGCAAGGATGGTACAATATTCAAAAATCCATCAGCATCATACACCACAACAAGAAAAGGAAGTGCAAAAGTCACATGATCATCTCAACAGATGCTGGAAAAGCATTTGACAAAATTTAACATCCATTCATTATAAAAACTCTCAATTAAATGGGTATAGAGGGCAAGTACCTCAACCTAATAAAGGCCATAAATGACAAACCCACAACCAACTTAACAGAGAAAAACTGAAAGCTTCTCCTTTAAGATTGGAAACAAGACAAGGATTCACACTCTCCCCACTTTTATTCTACATAGTACTGAAGGTCCTAGCCACAGCCATCAGACAACACAAAGAAATAAAAGGCATCCAGATTGGTAAGGAAGAAGTTAAACCACCACTGTTTGCAGATGACATCATAGTGTACATAAAAAACCCTAAGGAACCAACCCCAAAACTGCTACAACTAATAACTGAATTCAGAAAAGTTGCAGGATAAAAAATTAATACACAGAAATCTGTTGCAGTCCTATATACTAATGATGAATTAACAGAAAGAGAAATCAAGAAAACAATTCCATTCACAATTGCATCAAAAAGAATAAAATACCTAGGAATTAAACCTAACCAAGGAGGTGAAAGGCTTATTATGCCCTGAAAACTACAAGACACTCATGAGAGAAATTAAAGAAGACACCAATAATAGAAACACATCCCATGCTCATGGATAAAAAGAATCAATATTGTCAAAATACCCATCCTGCCTAAATTACCCTACATATTTGATGCAATCCCTATCAAAATGCCAACAACATTCTTCAACAAACTAGAGCAAATAGTTCTAAAATTCATATGGAACTGCAAAAGACCTTGAATAACCAAAGCAATCCTGAGAAGGAAAAATAAAGCTGGGTGGATTATGCTCCCTGACTTCAAGCTCTACTACAAAGCCACAGTAATCAAGGCATTTTGATACTGTTTGGCACAAGAACAGACTCATAGATCAATGGAACAGAATAGAGAGCCCTGATATAAACCCAAGCATATATGGTCAATTAATATATGATAAATGAGTCATGGATATACAATGAGGAAATGACAGCTTCTTCAACAACTGGTGTTGGCAAAACTAGACACATACATGTAAGAATGAAACTGGATTATTGTCTCTAACTCCATACACAAAAGTAAACTACAAATGCATCAAAGATCTCATTGTAAGTAATGAAACCATAAAACTCTTAGAAGAAAACATAGGCAAAAATCTCCTGAATATATGCATGAGCATCTTTTTCCTGAACACATCTCGGGCAAGGGAAACAAAAGCAAAAATGAGCAAATGGGACTACATCAAACTAAAAAGCTTCTGTACAGAAAAGGATATCATCAGTAGAACAAAAAGGCATCCTACAGTACGGGAGAATATATTTGTAAACTACATATTCGACAAGGGGTTAATACCTAAAACATATAAAAAACTCACATGCCTCAACACCCAAAAGGCAAATAACCCTATTAAAAAATGGGTGGAGGAGCTGAACAGACACTTCTCCAAAGAAGAAATTCAGATGGCCAATAGGCACATGAAAAGATGCTCCACATCACTAATTATCAGAGAAATGCAAATCAAAACCGCAGTGAAACACCACCTCACACCAGTTAGGATGGCCAACATCCAAAAGACAAGGAGCAACAAATGCTGGTGACGATGTGGAGAAAGGGGAACCCTCCTACACTTCTGGTAGGACTGTAAATTAGTTCAACCATTATGGAAGCAATATGGAGGTTTCTCCAAAAACTGAAAATAGAAATACCATTTGACCCAGGAATTCCAGTCCTAGGAATTAACCTGAAGAAAACAAGATCCCAGATTGAAAAAGATATATGCACCCCTACGTTTATTGTAGCCCTATTCACAGTAGCCAAGAAATGGAAGCAACCTAAGTGTCCATCAGTAGATGAATGGATAAAGAAGAGGTGGTACATATACACAGTGGAATATTATTCAGCTATAAGAGAAAAATGAATCCTATCATTTGCAACAACATGGATGGAGCTAGAGGGTATTATGCTCAGTGAAATAAGCCAGACAGGGAAAGACAAGTACCAAATGATTTCACTCATTTGTAGAGTGTAACAATAACGCAAAACAGAAGGAACGAAACAGCAGCAGACTCACAGACTCCAAGAAGGGACTAGCAGTGACCAAAGGGAGGGGCTGGGGAGGGTGCATGGGGATTGAGGGAGAAGGGGATTAAAGGGTATTATGATTAGTGCACATAATGTAGGGGGGTCTCAGGGAAGGCAGTGTAGCACAGAGAAGACAAGTAGTGACTCTATACCACCTTACTATGCTGACGGACAGTGACTGCCATGGGGTTGGGGGGAACGCGATAATATGGGTGAATGTAATAACCATGATGTTGCTCATGTGAAACCTTCATAAGATTGCATATCAATACCTTAATTTAAAAAAAAACTTCGAGGTTTATGGCTAAACGTCCCCCAGATATGAATTTGGTTTGTTTTTGCCTTGTGCCTCTGGGTAGCAGGAGACCAGATGAATGCAGTCCTGTTCTAGGGATTGGAATCGCCTGTGTTCCCGATGACTGAGAGCAGGGCCATAGAGCAGGGCTGCTCTGAGACAGTTCACTTCTACTCTTTGGGTACCAAACAAAAGCACAGGACGTATAATGGGGTCCCCACTTTGGACAGGCCCCAACTCTGCCTATCTAGCCTTGAACATTGTCAAAATTCCTGCTTCACTTCTCATTTATTTGTTTTGGATTGGGAAATGCCCCTGGGGCAAAAATGGCTCCAATTTTCACATTTATCAATTTCTCCAGGATTTTGGCACAGTAATTCTTCATGATCATGTAAGCTCCCAGCCTTTGGGCTGATGCCTGTTTTAGTTAGTTGGTTTTTCAGTTGCCTTGAGAGACCCGAGTTATCTAGTTCACCAACAATTAGACATTCTCCACATGAAAAATGAGTTCGGTTCTAGTCTCTGCCCTGCAATTCACTATTGTCTTGATCTTCAACAATTTATTCGTAGTCTATCAGCCTGTTCCCTCATATATAAAAAGGATTTGAGCAGTATTTCTGGGGCCCTGCAATTCAGTTTCTACTCGATTAGCACAATTTACTGTAAATCAGAGTAGATTTCAAGGTGAATTGCTGAAAGAGAAGAAATGCTGTGACAGACGCAGTGGCTATTGCTTTTCTTGTTTTTCTATAGCCCAGAGAAGTAGGAATATGGGAGGTGCTAGTATTTCAAGAAAAAAAAAGGAAAGCTTGCCAATAGATATGCTTAAATTTTGTTTTTATTCTGTGGAGCCCCCACCATCCTGGATATCAGTGTTGTCAGGCCAAAAACCCCCTTTTGTAGTTCTGGCTTGTCTGAGCGTAAGAAATGAGAAAAGACTTGCAAGAATCTTAAGAAACTTTATTAGCCAGCCCACAAGTGTGTAGGAGAAAGAAAATGCAGCATTTCAAGCCCCGTTACAAGGACACACCTGATAAAGTTTTATATTCATCAGAGGACCCCCCCATCCCCCAGGACAGCATTGTGTAAAGCCATCCCATTGCCAGAACAACCTGTGGCAGATGAAGGAAGGCAAGGGCCTTTATCCGAGAGCATGTGAGGAGCCAGTTCAAAGTGAGGTCTGTGTACCCACCCCTTTGCTCAACAGTCTCTGCTACTACATTATTTTTTCTGTCTTGTCATCTTTTATGATAAGACACCCATTTCTTGACCCATGTGACCCCATACAAACTACATTATCATGTAGGAAAAAGGAGAACAGAAATGGGAAGGCAGGCTATCACCAGGTGAATCTTCAATTGTTTGAAAAGTGCGGGGCTGTAGTACCAATCCTGTATAACAAAGGGTCAGAAACATTGGCTAAGGCAAATCTGTTTTCAAAACCCAGGCCCCTAATTGGGGAGATCTCCTATATTTCCATGGGTTATCTGTTTTCTTAAGTCCCCCTTCAACAATCAGTATTTTTCTATTATGATTTCCAAAATTCTATCTGTAAAATATAGTAATTGTGTTTCCACGGCTATTAGACAGTATAGCAATTTCACATATTACTACATAGTCAAGAATCTACACATATGATTTATTCCTTTTTTAAAAATTGTTTTAGCTTGAGGCAAAAGCAATTATCTGAATTTTTTTCAATATAAAAAAAGAAAAATTCACACCCACGGCAAAGTCAAGAGATGTAAATAGCCAACAGAGCTGAACTTCCAAAAGAAATTAAAGATTTTGTTCTGGATAGCAGTTATATTGGTAAAGCTATATGAAAATTGTTGCCATTAAAAGTGCAGGTAATAAACCTCAGAGCTTGACCTTGTACTTTCACTGTCTCTAAGGGGAAGAAAATTTGCCTAAGAACAGGATGTTAGCTGAGGAATTGTGCCGAATAAAGAAAAGGAATGGATGGTCAACAAAAAAATTCTCTTCGTGCATTAGCATGGTGAAGGTGGCCATGCCCGCTGTTGCTGCCGCCGCCTCGGTACCCTCCTCATTCACTTCTACAAAGGACTTGTGGACAATTTTCGATATAAAAAGATTTCTGGCCCCTGACATTCCAGACAAATCGGCCGCACTACTATTAAAGAGATCGTGTACACCCAGGCGGTTTAGGTGGAATTTGAGATCGTAGCTTTCTTCCAGCTTGAACCTAGGCAAATGGACATTGACTTCAGTATAATCCAGATTCTCAGGCTTGGTCCACTCTTGCAGATTTTCCAAAGTCAACTGTTCCTCAATCTGGAATTAAAATGGACAAAAAGAGGTGAAAACAATTTTATAAAAGTGAAATTATAATCATTATTTATATGAATGGACCCATACCAGTTGCTAGTTTCCTTCATGCTTCATGTCAAAATAGATTCCATTTTGGAAGATTTCAGTTCTTTCCAGTAATTGATGATAATGGAACAGAACTGTGTTCCAGGCCATGAAGGGCCCAAGTACAAGGATTTTGAACACTGGGTCCATCAACCACCCATATACAACACCCCCATCCACCCATCCATCCATCCAGACTTATTATCACACTAACTAAAACCCCTAACACACTGGATTACTGTGATAGGCCATGATGGCTGGTATTACCCTAATTGGGTGAGGGGCACAAGGGAAAATTAAAAAGGCTTCATCTGTTTTCCTCGATTTATTTTGAGCCCCACTGCTCCCTGTGGTTCTCCGTGAACCTCACAGAGCTGAAGTACTCACAAACAGGTTTAGCTCCTAGGTAAAAACAGAAAAGGACCTGGTTCCTCATCTAAAACAGGGGTAAGAACAGTACCTACCTTATAGCATTGTTGTGAGCATTAAATGAATATATGAAGTGCATGGCACACAGTAAGTGCATATAACTGTCAGCTGTTATCACTACTATTCGATTAGAGTAGACTGTCATTTCCCTTGCCCCAATGATGCTGTTATTCCTTTCATGAGGCTAGGGACTTTCCTTTTATAATCAGAGAAGAGACAAATACAGAAATACAACTGAAAGAAGGAACACACTGATTTTAGCACATACTTTATACATGCAAATGGCTAGTGTTAGACTCCTTCCAGACAGCAAGTTTAGTTAGGGTAGAGAAAAACCACACAGCAGGAAGAGACACTGAAGAAAAACCAATATCTTCACAGTTTTGCATAGTCCTACCCTGGAGAGGCACCATAGCCTTTAAATTATGTAAACAGAGACCATACAAAGTTCATACCAGGAAACGGGCTTAGCTCTCAAGCTAACATGTCACATGAGTCTATCGTGTAACTCTTGGAAATATTGTTCATAATCTGTATGAACTGTGGTGAGAATGACAAATATAATAGGATTTCATAGTAAGTGATGAAACTATATACTGCAATGTTTGGGGTTGTTTCATCTTTAAAACTTTGTTCAAATAAAACAACCCTCATTTCACTGCACTTTCCTCTGAAGTTCATTTCAGAGAGTTTCCATGAGCTGCCACTGACCAGTGCTAATGTAATATAGATCTCAGATGTTCTCCCCAACTGTTCACTCACAGTAGCTGAAAATTTAAACTTAGGCCTTCAAAGCAATAAATGTTGGTGGGCTAATTTACAAAGGAATGACCAAGACCCAGAAAGGAGAGTCAAGTAATGTTAGAAAGCACACAGCCAGCACCTATGCACCTACTACTGGCCCTACAGATGAGGCAGAGCCGATATATCACAGGGAGACATGAAACGAGCACGGGGCCTTTTGTTACCTTCCTCAGACCCGTGGACTCATCCTCGATGTCATCTGGCAGCAGGATAATCATGCTGAGCTCCTTGCCTTGGTATGGCAGCTCCAGCACACGGCACTTAAGGTCCTGGATGTGGCGGAATGGAAACTTCTTCTTCTGATACATCATTTTCACTGTTTTTGTGTCTTTCTGAACAGTTAAGAAAACAAATCGCTCACATTATTGTGTTCCTTCTGAGCACAGAGCAATTTTTAGACAGCCATGTCACCTCACCTTATTCAGCCGAAATGGTGCATTGGCCGTGGCCTTTTCCATGAACTGCTCATGCCACTTCCCTTTGAAATAGATGGCGCTCACTAGCACAAGTACAGTCATGCTATCAACCATATTTGGAGTCAACAGTTCTGGAATTTTCCCTAAAATAGATAAAAGTAAGCCTTTTAAAAAAACTGAATAGCAGGATCCCAGATTTGAACTGACATTCGATTAGCACTGAAATGCAATTCAGATGCACACTTCCTACCTAATTTTCCTTTAACATAGTACTAAGTTAGGAAAGCCCTGTTAGTATGTTTCCACTTCAAATAAACCAACTAAGTACAGCATAGGGAACACAGTTAATAATATGGTAATAACTTTGTATGATGACAGATGATAACTACACTTATGGTGGTGAGCATTTTGTAAAGCATATATATGTCATATCACTAGGTTGTATACCTGAAACTAATATGTCACCTATACTTCAAAAATTTTTATAAATAAACAAACTAAAAGGCTAGAAACAGAAAAATTCTCCTTTTCTAGAGTGTGTGACAATGAGCCTTATTTTGTGAATGGCCCCTCTTTCTCAGGGAAAAAAAATATTCCTTAATGAAAATGCTTTTAGTAACTTGTAAATAAATCACTTCTTCAAATCCTGCAAGCGGAAGCCTCTGTCACCAAAAAGATTTTGCCACACAGGCAAAGGCCCAACAGCTGCTCCACCGAAACAGAGGCTCCCTGTGAGCACGCATGGCCACAGACTATTCCTTGTTGGAAGACAGGTGCTCTGTAGGCCCTGCTGCATTCCCTGACGGGTCAGACGGCACGGAATCAGACACGCCACCTGACAGACTCAGTCCCACCAGCCATTCCTGATTTGGCAAAAAATATTTTGGACCCAAGCAGTTTGCAAATATTGATTCACAAGAATCAGGATGTTTCTTTCAGGTGTGTATTAAATAATTTGAGCCATGCTGTATTTTCCCCCAGAATTTTTATTACTTTTAGTCTACATTCAATGTTAGCCTTAATTTTAAAATGTAGTTTGGGGAACTTATGGGGAAAGAAGTATTTAGCTGCTTCAGCTGAATCATATGCAAGTTTGCTCTCTGAGGAATTTCTACATCTGAAAGCAGTTGGCACTGAGCAGGGCATAATTCCTGCCCAGGGTTGGGGCCAGGATGGGGAGAGGGGAGGAGACGGAGGGGACCAGCGTAGGCAGGAGGTGAGAGGAGGAGGAGAGGGACCCTTGTTCAATGACTCTGTCCTGCCCACCTCACCTTCTGTCTGCCCTTTGACCCACTCATTTATAGTCTTCCTTGCATCTTCAAAGGCTTGCTGAAAATCCACGCTGGCTAATTCGGCACCATACATTTTCTGAATTGAAGTCAAGAACTCCTATTTAAAAAAAAAAAAGAAAGATATGTCATGAATAACTCCAACTACATACAGAAATGGTTTTCTAAAATCCTTAAAAGCAACAGAAATTGTCCTAAAAGGCATGAATTTCTTTGTAACAGAAATATTCTAATCCTTATCTTTTAAAAACACTTAACATTAAATTTACCATCTTAACCATTTTTAAGTGTACAGTTCAGTAGTTTGGTGTTATATAGAATTTACCAATTATTTTCTAACCTTTGGCTAACATTTTCATAAATAAGAAATTACTGATTGTGCGTGGAAGTGATTAATGGAATTCACTCTTGCCTTAGTAAAACAGCCAGAGCCAATCTTGTCACTGTGATAACCATAAAATGAAACCATATCAATTAATGGGAATACTGTCTGTCATATGTTTGCATTCTGTATCATTTTTCTGAATGTTTATAAAAATTAAAACCGATCTCTGTGACTTGATTGCGCTGGGGTAAAAGTCTGCATTGTCTAGTGAGTTTTAGAACATGAAGTGCAAAGTACTTACAGGAAGGAAATTATAGGTTTTCTCTCCATACAACCTATTTGCAAGTTTCAGAACATAGGAAGCTCCACGTTTGTTGATATCAGCATTCAGACTCTGAAATCTGGAATTAATATCCTCAACGGTATTGAAATAAAGAGTCTAAAATAAAGAAAACATCCTTTCTATAACCATTCATTTTGAAATTATAAAGTGGTTCCTTGGCATTTGCTTCCATCAAATTAAGTTAATGTTTTGATTATTAATTATTGATGATTATTAATTTCTCATTGAAGAATAAATAACAAAGTATCCAAAACTATTTCTTTGTGAGACATAAAAATTACATTAGAACTGCTTTACACCACTTTTATGTTATAATTATAATTCCACAAATGAGTGGTTAATAAACTATAATATTTATACAAGTTTGCTTTTTTGCAAATAAAATCGTAAATGGTGTGTTCATAGCTGTATTATGTATCAAGTATAATTTTACTGAAAGTTCTCAGAAATAGTAAAAATAAGAATCATCACCCATGCGAAGACACAAAGCTATTACAGATGGGGGATGTTTCTATTACACTATCAGCATTAGTAACTCACTTATTTCCAAATAACTTCTTTAAACTTAACACTACTGAAAAGTTTAATTCCCTATGTAGCAGTCACAAATCAAGAGGTCCTTTATGGTTTTATGAGGCCTGGGATGGTTTCTTGCTTTTAAGACACAAAGAACAAAGTCCAGTTACTCCCTGAGACACAGAATGTTTGCACAGGTGCTATGTTCCATCTGCATTAATGGAAATGGGGGTGGGGAGGGGCTTAAAACTATTCTTTACTGAACTCATAAAGTCTCTGGAAAGCCTCAGACTTAAAGCAGGGTAAAAAATATTACCCTTCCAGAAGCAAGTAACAACTAGTACTAAAGGTTTAAAAAAAAGAAGAAAAAAGTGGATCTTGAAAACCTTAGAATGCGTTCATATCTAAAGTGATGAAGACGGCTGGAAGACGGCTGGTTTTCCGTGCAGTAAAGTAATAGAAGCTGTGCAGCTGGAACTGGTCCATAAACCTGAAGCCAGGGTTGGCCCTTCCCTAGTTACATGTGCAGTATGGTTTGTGACCAGTATGCCAGCAAGGCCACCACTTGTAGCACTCTTCTCCCCAAGATGTCAAGGAAAGCTAGTGTTCTTTTGACAGAATGGGGGAATACCTAGCGCCCAGGGTTCCCCACACCCATTAGGGCCAGGAGGAGGGCTGGGTATCACCATCTCTTCTCCTGCTGTGCAAGAGACCAGCCACATCACCATGGGCTCGGGCCTGCTTGTGCCTCACCACTCCCCTCTCCTGCAGGGCCCACCTGCGCACAGTCTACAGAGCCCCCCTTGGAGCCAGGCACAGGGCTAGGTCGCAGGAAGACAGATCACAAGGTTGCTTTGTCTTCTCCAAAAGGCACCACTGCGAACTTCTCCAGCGTGGTGTGTTTCCTATGTGTCATTATGCTCAAAAGTAATGCTGCATAACAGACATTAATTATGAGTAGCCAGTCATCATATGCAAAGCAGAAACTGGAAAATCCTTGTCTTGGGGGAGATGGTGCGGCTAATGGGAAACCAGTGAAAGGTGTGCCTACTGGACAGGAAGGGGCACACTGCAGGGCCTTTTTTCAGCTTCCTTCACTGCTATATCCTCAAGAAAACAAAAATCAGTGCCTGGCACACAGTATATACTTAGTAAAGACTTGATCATGAATGAAAGCCTGCATACAAATGGCTTGTTCTTGGGGTTTTTTCTGAAAGACTGACCTCATAATGTAGTTGCTCAGTTGCTCAATACAGAAATACAGTTTTTAAAACAGTGCAGGAGCTCAAAGGCACAACTTTTCAGTACAGCCATTACATGAGCAGGGAGACAGCAGAGGAAGGAGACTATTGTCGTTTGTTTCTGCTGACCTTGGACATCTGTTCTGCAGTGTTGCCTCGGGCCCCCAGAAAGATCATGGCCAGGGCTGATGAAATGTTTAAGGGGGAGATGAAGATGTTTCCCGTAGGATTGTTCTCATTCAAAACTCGGAACAGGTCCAACGCAAAATGGGTGATTGCTGTGCTCAACTGCTCCATGGTGAAGGCTGCAACAGAACAGAGGCCCCGAGCTGCCCTCTGGCCACACTGGCATTAGGCAACGGCATTTCCCCACCTCTTTCTCAACTCATGCTGAAACACCCTCAAACTTGTTCTTCCTTTTTTTTTCCAGGAAGTGCACACATGTGGGACTATGGATGATTGGCCAAGGATTCAGGGACACGGGGTCAGGATCCAGGGTATCTGAAAGAGCTCTGACCTTGCAGACAGGTGAGTGCCTGGCACCAGGGCCTTGGCATAGCATTCACACTGGGACTTTCCTACTAAGTTTGGGAGTACACGTATTTCTGACCTTTTGGTTCAAGGTGCTGATTCCTTTGGACAATGACTCCACTGGCCACATCTACCTGAGATAAGAATGCTTCTCTTAGAAAATCACAGCTGCCTAGGAGGCACTAAGGCAAACACCAGCAAAGTAGATACACTGATGTTCATTGTGGAGATCTGTTGCTAATGTTTAAAGGAGTTGAGTGTCCCAGGTCTAGTAGCTGGTCTTCACCAAAGATGGAGAGTGAAACCCCAACATTGGGTGAGGTGCTCGACATGGTGCATTCAAACTGTCCTCTCTGTCACTCCCTAGATGGCGGGGTCTCTGAGTAAGTTAGGCACTGGTCTTGCATCTCAGCCCTGGCACCCACGTCCCCATCGGGACTTCCACTCTCGGGGCCTTGGTTTACTCCACACACAGGCAAGGGAAGATAACCGCTGTGCTGGCCGCCCAGCGCGTGGGTAGCAGCCTGAACTATTATTGCTGCGGCTGATCAATAACCTCCAGGGACCCTTCCCCTGGCCACACAAAGCAGTACCAGGAAACCGGCACCGGGGGACCAGGGCGGGAGGGAGGAGAGGCGCCCCGGGCTTGGGTTCGGCCTTCCCGCCCCGCCCCGCCCTCAGTCCCTCGCAGGCCGGCCCGTCCGGCGCCCGGGGTCCGGCGGGAGCTCGGGGGCACCCGGGGGAAGGGCAGTCCCGGCGGACCGCCCGGGCCGGGGCGTGCTGGGACTGAGCAGCCTGCGGATCCGGGCCGGCGGCCTCTCCGCCCGCCCCGCCTCCCCGCTGCGCCCGGCCTGCCTTACCCGGTACTTCCTGCCTGCTCGGGCTCCCGGCGCGTGAGATCTCGGGAGCGGCGCCGCGCCGCGGCCCTTATAGCTGCGGAAGGGGAGTGTCGCCCCGGCAGGCCCAGGGCGGGCGACAGGGCGCGGCCCTTCCCCCGGATGACTTCCCAGGAGTCTGGGCTCCCCGGCGGTGTAGAAGCCAGGGGAGCGTAAGCACAGTGCGCTTCTCAGGGAATCAGCACCTTTCTGAGTTCTAGACAAGCTCAAACAGGACCTGATGCCCTATTTCTTACTAAGATGTGAATGAATGACACTTTTTAGTATCACTTCTTGGAGGGCAAACTAACTCCTTCTGAGTCCCATCTAACCATATACTCCAAACGCTGAGGTTGTTATTATTTGGTAGAGGGGGAGAGCAAATTTGGCACCTCTTGCACAGGGGACAGGAGGAACCTCAAGGATACGATAGAACAGAAGCACAATCAGTTCTAAGCGACATCCCTTGATGTCACTGTCTTGCAGGTACCAAAGTGAGTCAGTCCCAGTACTCCCCTTGGAACTGATCACTGGGCTGAGTCAACTCACATACCACACCCCATGATAGCTCACATCTGTGTAAATAAATATTTCTTACCCATTATACTAAAACTTTGACTCACCAATTTTCCCCCCTGTAATGTTAAAAAAAAAAAAAAAGGAATGCATAGGGTTGAATAGTAAAGACAATAACTATTTCTGTGGGTTTATTTGTTCATTTCCTCTTTAAGTGCCTGAGTTTATAATTTCACCAAAACTTAGAGTGCTTGAGGGTATGAAATAATTCTACCTTCATGAAACTTCTCCCCTGCTCTCTTGCAAATTTCAATAGGAAAAGAGGACACAGGAGAAATCCTGTTGTTTTATTAGTGTGGCTAACAATGTGAATGGATTTATAGTTTTTTTTACACTGAGAACTTTATAATGAAAAGGAGCAAAGAAGATCGTAGTATCACACTAATGAGTAATTATGAAACTTCTCCCCTGCTCTCTTGCAAATCTCAATAGGAAAAGAGGACACAGGAGAAATCCTGTTGTTTTATTAGTGTGGCTAACAATGTGAATGGATTTATAGTTTTTTTTACACTGAGAACTTTATAATGAAAAGGAGCAAAGAAGATCGTAGTATCACACTAATGAGTAATAAAAAGACTCCTCATATTTTTTTAAAAGCAGCAAGTTTAATCACTAAAATTGTAGAATGCTTTACAGCTTATTAGAATAAAGAAACCAACATTTATTGAAAATCAGTCATAATTAAGTTGAAGTGGTTTGATCAAATCTGGTAACCTCTCCACCATTTCTTACAGAACCAGAGAACTACTCACTAGCTTCTACTAAGAGGTCAATGTGAGAAAGTCAAGAGTGAAAAGCCGCACAAAGTAGTAGTTAAAGTCCGAAACACATAAACTAACAAAATTGTTCTGAATTTTTTTTTTTTTTGTCCTGACATTTTGCATTTGTGCTCAACTGGGAGGGCTATTATAATTAAAAGGCCATTGGAGTAAACTGGGGAGTTCCAAGTACAATGACTTCTCTTGACTGAGTTGTGACTTTCCCTCATTGGCTGGACTATTGCTGAGGAAGGGTAAGGGAGGTGGCGGTGGTGACAGAAACCTTTCTTCCTCCTGCTGCTGCAGAATAAAATAGCTAAAACAGCGTTCACTTGCAAGGTGTTTTCTTTTTTCAGGTGAGGGCTGCAATTCACAAGGAGTGGTGGGAGTGAAAACACCCCCTGCTGGCCTCCCCAAGCCATGTCAGTGAGGTTCCCCTTACTAACATTCTCACTGTATAAGGCTCAGGCAAATTTGACCTTTATACTTCCATCATTAATCAATACATTTACTATCTAAAGTTTAGGCAAAGTAAATATTCTGTTGAATAATGTGTATGTGTTCTACTTGTGGCTTTAAAATGTAAATGGACACTATCAAGGGTCATGCAGAGACACTCAAACACTCCTGGTGGCATATACAGTTTGGTATAGTGTTTGGCTTATCAACTAAACTCAAACACATGGGTATCTCCAGGGTGGAATAATCCTGAGGCAAAATACCTTTGAAACCATAACCAGTCAAAGGGAGAAATAAAGTGGGAGAAACCCATTTATTTCTTACAAGCAGTCATCCACGTCTGCTCTCCCATGTCTCTCACAACCTGGCTGCAGAAGAAAGGGCCATACCCAAACTCTCAAGCTCTCTACTCCAGATATGCCCTTGCTTGGCCTTGTAATTACCTATTGATATGTAGATGGTTACTTCTCTCCACCCCTTGGAAATACCTATTGATATGGAGATGCACTAAAGCCAGGCAAGAGATTCTAGAAATACTGCAAATTTACCCACAGCCTACCCTCCAGAAATCTCACCTCACAATCTCACTCTCCATCTTCTCCAATAGCCCCTGTGTGAGAAAACTGGAGTTCAGAGCGATCATCAAGGACAGTTGCAGTCAGGGGGTAGGTCCAGGCCAGAGGGACTGTAGAAGAAAATAACCTTAAGGGCAATAAGATACATGTTTTAATGACACCAGCATAGGCAAATCTTGTCCATCAGGTAGGATGCATGCAAGAGAGAGGGTCCTGTGATAGGACAGTGGCAGGAATGGGATCTCGTCCTGGTCTAGTATACCAGAGTTTCACCCCACTCCCTGTGGGAGGTACAGATGGGTCAATATATAGGGCTATGGGAGGTACATGCACTGGCCATAAAGATAAAATAAAACTTCCCCGTAAAATGCTATTAGTTCCCGGACATTTTGGGAACACTACCATGATCTTTGGGGGCCACTCTGCTGTTACTCCAGGAGTACACACAAGGTGCCAGAAGGGCCAGCCATCACTGGTCCATGTATCAAAATGTCCAGGGCCACATCCACTCAACAGTGTCTTCAGAGTTTAATGCAGTGGGGGCTGGCAGCAGGATGCTGCTCTGCTGGCCATATCCTGGCTTAGTAACTCCTCTTTGGTTTGCACATACAGTCGTATAGGAGAGGCAGCAATGTGTGTTAGCATATCCACAGGGCTCAAGACTCCTTTTTAGGGCTTTTATTCAAATGCCATAGCACTGTCCATAAACAAACCAACTAGCCCCATAGACTATTGGTGTCTGACTTCAGGCCAGATTTCAACAAACCACTGTACCTCTCAGTCATGCCTGTCCTGGTAGGATTATATGGTACATGAAACTTCCACTTTATTCCTAATTGTTGCACCCATTCTTGTAATATATGTCCAGTAAAGTGGGTGCCTTGATCGCTCTCAATCACCTGCGGCCTGCCATAGGCTGCAAAGAGGTGCTCTAGGCCCCTCTTGGTGGTTTGCTGATCTGCATGACATGCAGGAAAAACAACCAACAGTCCAATAGCTGTGTCCACAACAAGTCATGGCACACTGATATCCTTCTGACATGGCAGAGACCCAATATAGTCTACTTGCCACCTGCCAAGGGGTACTGGCCCCCTTACTATTGTCCCATGTTGCTGTGGGACTCGGTGTAAGTCCCTCTTAGAGCAAGGTGTTTTCTTCTTTCAGGTGAGGTCTGTAATTCACAAGGAGTGGTGAGAGTGAAAACCCCAAGCCATGTCGTGAGGTTTCCCTTACTACGCCACCTGGGCCAATGTGTCTACTTCATCATTCCCTGGGGATGTCAAAGGCAAATGGCCAGTCACATAATATACAGTAACAGTCCTAGTCGACCAGAGGCCTGTAGGTCTTACCATAGCTCTTGCCCGCAAAGGGGCTGATGACCAACCATCCAACTGGCATGGTACCATGTCGGTAACCACAGAGTTAAACCCCAATAGATGGCCCAGCTGTCAGTGCAGACAACTATAGGGGAAGGCTCCTGGGTGATCATGAGACATACTGCCCGCAACTCAGCCCATTGGCTGCTCTTCACCTCTCCATCCTCCATCCATATTGTCTCAGTTTTAGGATGGAAAACCACAGCCATCCATTCAGGGGCTGCCCATGACTGGAGCCATCTGTGTACCAAGCATCTTCAGGTATAGGGGCTTTTCCCTCCTGATAAGGACTCTCAGCTACCCATGAGTCAAAAGCAAGGTATTCCTGTTTTCCACTGGTATAGGTCACTGGCCCCAATAAGCATTGGAGTTCTCCACTTAAGAAACTAGTAGAGAGGGCACTACAGTGCTGTAAATATGCATGCCATTTGGCCAGTGTAGGCATCTGTGCCATGCCACTCCGTGGCCTTTGGGTCCAGTCTCGCACCCACCCCACAATGGGATAGTGGTTATTACCTTGATTGGAGCTGTTCCAGTGACGGACTCTGTAGCCAGCAAGGTGTTGGTACACAGCAGCCAGTTGCTTCTCTATGGGGGTGTACCAGACCTCTGCTCCTTTCCATAGTTGTGACCAGAATCCAATAGGTTGGTGTGTCCATTCAAGCTGCTGCAAAAGACCCCATCCATAACCTTCTTCGGTTACATGAACAGCTAGCTCACAGGGCCTTGATGAATCCATTACACTCAAGGCCTGCACAGCCTTGACTGCTCACTTAGCAGCTGTAAAAGTAGCTACACATGTTTCATCCCAGTCCCACTTATGCCCTTTCATAGCAATCAGTATAAGGGTTTCAGAATTTGTACCAAGTGTGGGACAGAAAACCAAAGACACAAAAATTCTTGTAATACTGCCACTACGGTAAGGGTAGGGAAAGCCTGGACCTTTTCTATGACTGCTTCGGGAATAATTTTAGTTTTACCTGACCAGACAACCCCCAAAAATTTTACAGGCAAACCAGGTCCCTGAACCTTGGTGCTGTTCACAGCCCATCCTTTCTCCTGTAGATGTTGCAGCAGTCTAGGAACTGCCCCTTCTAAATCTGCAAGAGAATTAGTTGTGAGCATAATATCATCAGTGTAATGATACAACTGCACCGTTTGCAGTTTCTTTCATGTGGCCAAGTCCTGGGTTACAAGTCCATGACAGATGGTGGGACTGTGGAGGTATCCCCGTGGAAGGGCAGTGAATGTCCATTGCCGGCCTTCCCACATGAAGGCAAAGTGTTACTCACTTTCCTGTGCTATGTCAATAGAGAAGAAGGCATTCGCAAGGTCCACAACATAGTGATATGCCCTTAGTTCATGACTGAGGGTGTCCAGAATGTCTGCTATAG